CCAGCCCCCACCCCCGGGGCAGAGCAGCCCCCTCACCATGTTGGCGACGCTGTGAGCTTCTCGCACCAGAACTGATACCATCTGCAGGAAGAAGCAGCGTCAGCCACCGATCCCACTGGTTCCCCACCCCGGACCCCTAGGGGCCAAGGGGCTGAGCCCCGCCCCCCAGTCCTGATGGGGGCCCAGGCACCTTGTCCGCTGGGAACTCGACGGCGGCGCCCGCACACGGGGTCCGGTTCTGGCTCCAGTTTTCGGCAGCATCAAAGTCGGTATTGGGGACCCAGATTTTGTAGGCGGCCCGGGTCAGCGCTGGGGATGGGGGCGCTGAGTGGTGCCCGGGCCCGCGGCATCTGGGTACGCACCCAGATGCCCCGTCCCCTGGGGAGGACGACCTCCCCCAGAGAGGCGCGGTGGCCGGCGCATGTCACACAGCTGGGTGCAGAAGGGGTCCCCCCGGTGGCCCAGACCAGCCCCTCACCCCTCCCGCGTGAGACCAGACCCGCGGGAGCCCCGCCCGCGCTCTCTGACGAGCTCCAGCATCGCGGAGCCCAAACGTGCCTCCTCCACGACGCCCGCCGAGATCGCCTCGTCGCCCCGCCCCAGTGTTGCCAGGCGCCGGAGCAGAGGAGCCGAGCAGGCAAGGACAAGGACAACCGAGGACGGAGGAGAATGCGGAAGCAGAGGCCTCCGCCAAGTGGAAGGGTCTGGGGTCGGCGGGGAGCGGCCGGGAGGGCTCTGCGCGGGCGCTGTGTCCTGCAGGGGCCGCGAGGGACTTCGGAGAGTGGGGCAGGGACGGACGCGGCTGCGGTGTTTAGGGCTCCGGAGCGTTGGGGGCCGGCACCGAAGACACGCATTGGGCTGGTGCGATGGGGGAGGGTCGGCGGCGCCCTCGGGACCGGGAAACTGAGGCACGCGGCGGAGCCGGCCGCCTCCCGCGCGCGGCCGCGGGGACCTGGACGGCGCCCGAGGGCAGGAGCGCGGCGCCCGCGGAGGGTCTGGTCCCCGGCTCCTCGCCTCTCGCGCGCCGGCGGACCCCGGGGAACCTTGACCTGGGTCCAGAGGGCCCTCGGCCTGCGGTCCGCCCGGCCTGGGCCGCCCCGCTGCCGTGCAGGCCCCGTCAGCGCGCCCCGCTTACCGCAGAGCTGCAGCCACAGCAGGACCCGGCCCAGCGCGCGCATCTCGCCTTCCCGAGCCTCCAGCCAGGACTTTGCTCCACGGAGCCCACGTGACCGGGCGGGGTGGAGTGGGAACCGCCCGGACAGTTACACATTTACCTCCAGACCCGCCTGGGCGGTCTTCAGGCCCCTTGGAGGCACGTGCTGGGCCTCGCTGCCCGTCCACACTCAGCCCTCCAGGACCCAGGGCCTTGAGAGCCCAGGAAGCAGGGTTTGTCAGGACCCACCCGCCCCATGACATGGGTGTGTTTGGGGGAGGGAGGTGAAGAAGGCTCCCCTTCTTCCCTGGGCGGCTGGGGCAGCACCCAATCTGCCCACCTGGTGGGGCTGGGCGTCCGCTCTTCAAGTGTGGGGGGCCCTCCTGCCTCCTGGCCTGGTTGGATTGTAGATGGTTGCAGGTAAGTGTGTGGTCACAGGTGGCAGATGTTTGACCAGAGGACAGTAGAAGAGGAGGGCAGGTGACAGACGGCAGACACAGTTGGATGAAGGAGAATGGAAGATGCACAGAAGAACAGGGGTCGGATAAATGGCTGGACAGACTGAATGAGTATAGGATGGGTGGCTAGGACGACCGGGTGTTGGAGGGAGGGTTCTGTTTAACTGAGAGGGGGGTACTCGGCCCTGCGTGATGCCCATGGGGATGGATGCTGGCAAGTGGGTGGACGGTGGATCTGTGGGTGATGGGACGGTAGAGAGTAAGCGGGTGAGCGATGGACAGTGGGTTTATCGGTGGTGGGGCGGATGGTGAATTGATTAGTGATGGGCTGTGAATCAATGGCTTGAGGTGGGAGGAAGCCCCGGGGAGGGAGGAGGGAAGACGGATGGGTGACCTGTGGCTGGCAGGAGACCAACAGGTGATGCCTTATTGGTTATGGCTGGTGAAGGGGAGGGATGGTGGACGGGCCGCTGGGTTCAGGATGACACGATGGTGGGCGAGTGAATGCAGCAGGGTAGACGATGGAGGTGGGTGCACAGATGGAGGACCGGGTGAAGGGGGACTACTCAGCCCAGGGAACCCCCAGTGCCTTCCTCCCTCTAGGCCACCCTGCCCTCTCCTGCGTCCCTGCCTCACCTGCACACCTGCCGCCATTAGTGCCTTTTGCCCTGACCGGCTGCTGCCTCTCCTACACGTGGAACAGGCCCTCCTGGCCAGGGAAGTGGCCTCTCGGGGGAGGAGGGAGTGAGCTCACCTGCCCGTCCCTCCCCACTCTGTCCCGGTGGGATGGGGCACCTGCTTTCAGCGCTGCCCAGAGGCGTGGGCCCCCAGCCCCCGCTGAAAAAGGGAGGTGCGTCTGCCTGGTCCCGGAGCTCGGCTTCACCGCCTGTTGGGCTCACAGGAGGCTCCATCCCCTGAAGCCATGACTAGGAACTAAGGGGCCCTTCGGGGCTACCTCTGTTCTGCCCCTTATCCTGCTTCTCACTGGAAAAGAGGTGGTTCTGTTGATGGGACCACCGCCCTTCCTCTGGACACACGAAGTGGACTGCACCAAGGGCAGGGGCCAAGGGCGGCTCCAGAGGCTGGGATGGCTGGGCCTTAGGGAAATGGACTCCGATGGCTCTGGCCCGCCTGGGCAGGCCATTCCCAGAGAGACCGTGCCATCTGGAGAGGGCAGCAAGGCCACCTGGGCAGTAAAGGAAGGCTTCCTAGAAGAGGCAGCATTAAAGCTGAGACACAAGGGCTGCGGTCGCAGCTTCAGGCACACTGTGGAGGTTGGGCTGAAGGTGTCAGGGCTGGTCGGCCCTGGGCGTTGGTGGCACTCATGAGCAGAGGCTGGAGGCGGGTCCAGCTCTTGGAGGGTGGCTTAGACAGGAGCCCATGCCGAGGCAGAAGGCAGGTGTTGGCCCTGGCCAGGGTCCTTGGCACAACTTGGGAGCAAAGACATGAGGCGAAGTGTGGCTGGCCCCCGCTGCAGGTACCCGTGTGCACAGGCAGCCTGCAGCGGACACCCAGCTACACACGTGAGCACAAGCTTGTGCACTGGTCAGGGCCTCGGTGGCAAGTAGGAGAAACGCAAGGTCCAGAGAGGGTTTCCTCCAGGAGCCAGGAAGTCCCGTGGAGCAGCCGCTTCGGGCCAGGCGGGACCCGGGCCTGGCTGTCCTGTCTCTCCATCCGTCCGTCTGTCTGTCTGGCTGGCTCTGTCTGGGTTGGGCTGTCCTTGCTGGGCTGCCGTGTTGGTTTCTCTGTGCGCTCAGCCTTCTCTGCGTGACAGGGAAGGTGGCCTGGGACAGCTGGACACCCACGGCCCTGGCTAGGCCACTGCGTGGGGCTCGGTGAGGTCTCATGTTGCTCCCTGTCTCCCCCTCTGCACCAGTCCAATGGCCCGGGCTTGCTGTGCTCTGACTGGCTGTCACAGCCCTGCCTGCTGTGAGGGCACCAGAGCCCGGTCGCCCCGGGGCTGGGGGCAGGCAGACCACCCCATTCTTGTCAACTCTGTGGGGACAGATGCACCCTCAAGGTCAATTCCCTAGCTCCTTCTCTCCACCTTTGTCCCTGACTTGCTGTGTGACCTTGGGTAGGGCCCTGGACCTCTCTGGGCCTTAGTGTCCCCCTGGAGGGACTGAGGCTCCAGCCTCCGCAGTTCTATTCCTGGACGCAGGACCCAGATAGGTCGTCTCGGCCCCTCCCCCTGCAGGCATCCGTGTGCACTGCCTGGAGCACAGGGATACTCCAGAAACACTTGTGGGAGGAAGGGACAGGTGACAATCCCCAGGTCCTGTGGCCTGCACAGACCCCTGCCAGCAGGGGCTCAGGGACTCTGACCCCTGGAGTAGCCCCACCCTCGGACCTGTGACTTCTGTGTCAACCTCCAGATGGCTCCTTGGGCCTTCCATTCCCTGCGCACTCGGACGGGCCTGCGGTGGAGCTGGGCGGGGATGGCGGACAGCCCGAGGCACCGCGGTTCTGCCCAGGGCTCTGGAGAAGCACCAAGCGGGGGCGGCCAGGGTGTGCTGGGAGCGTGTGAGGGAGCCGGACAGGCCGGGGGCCGCTGCGGGCCTCTCAGACAGGTGACATCAGAGCCGAAATCTGGGAAATCTACAGGAAGAAACAGCAGAGCAAAGGCTGCGAGGCCGAGGCCGGGGCGGAGGGGCTGGAGGTGGGAGGTGGGAGGAAGCCCGGGGCGGGGGAGGGAGGAGGGAGGACAGAGGAAGGGGAGCGGGACATGAGGCCGCGCTGCTGGGCTTGGGCTCCATGCCTGCGGGGAGCCCGGAACGGTGTGAACTGGATGGGGCCGAGCTGGCCGCCTGTCAGCCCATGGGGGGACAGGTGGTGGGGCCAGGCCGGGACGCAGGCTGTCCTGGGTCTGAATGCTGTGTGAGGCCACACAGTTTACTCACCCCGTTTCATCCTTCGCCTGCAAAGCCGGGGGGGCAGTGCCTGCATCACAGGGCCCCAGGGTGGCGAGAGGCCTGTGAGAGAAGGGGGGGCACAGGAGACCCTCAGCCCGGGGCACCATGCATCTGCAGCAGGTGGGAGGAGGAGGATGGAGCCAGGGCCTTGGGGGCTCTGACCGGGGAGCTGCCCACAGCATCACCAATCTTCTATCCCAAGATGGGGAGGGGTCTCACCAGGGGCCTCCTATCCTTCCATGCAGGAGGTCTAATCTGTCACCTCCCCCATCCCTCCCACCTCTGTTTTGAGGGGAGGGCTGTGGGGGCAGTTTGCATGTGTCTGGGTCAAGAGGAGCCACTGCCAGAGGTCAGGGCCGCTGGCTCAGGGTTCCAACACCCTCACTGTCCCTCCCTGGGAGTAGCTGGGCCAGGACATGTGAATGGACAAGACTTGGGCCACATAGCCCCAAAGTCCACAGGGGGAGAGAGAGACGTGGCAGGCTGAGGAGCCCAGCGCCATCAGCCATATGTGGTTCTTCACCCCAGGGTGCCTGTCGTGGTGGTCGAGGCCTCAGCTTATTGGCCCGAGGGCAGGTCCAGCCTCCCGCCCAGCAGGCTAAGGTCACCATGGGGCATTTCCTGACAGGCTGTGGCCACTGCTGGCTGAGTACACGGCCCCCTGTCACATGGGCCTCATGCCGCCCACAGCCACTTGGAGTGGATGCCAGTATGGTCCCCGTGGTACAGACAAGGAGACACTCATAGCGGTGCCGGGGGTGGGGTCTGCCTTTGGCACCCTACAACCCACCCTCGTCCAGGGGCAGCCTTCTGCAGGTCCTGGGATCCAGGCCTATGCCCCCTGAGGGCCACCAGCCTCCCGCCCTGGGGCCTGGGGGGCAAGGGAATAGCTACCCGGGCCTCTGTGCTCTGCCCTCCACCGGGGCGGACCCTGGCATCCGGGGGCCACTCGGATCAAGGCTGGGACCTGCAGGTTCTGTCACTTAAACTCCCCCTCGATCTCTAACGTCTTGTGGGCCCCGGGCGCATGGAGGGGCGTGGCCTTCGCCGCAGGGTCAAGGCGCCGCGTGATGGCACTTCGCCCGCGGGCCCTCTGCTTCTCCCGGTCCTGGATGCGGGATTTACACCAGGCTACTGTCCACTTTCAGAAAGCTGGAAAAGCGCGGCGCTTCGCAAGCGGAGATGCCGTCTCTGGCCTTCGCCCGGCTGGGGTTCCGGTTCCGGTTCCGGTTCCGGTTCTGCCCGGCAGGCACAGGAGGTCAGAGCCACGGCGATCCGGGCGCGGACCCTCGGGAGGCGGCA